GACACGTACAAGCACAAGATTCACGAAGACAGCGCGCGCCCGGTCCAGCCGCTCTACGGCCGCAAGGTCACGCTCTTCCAGTCCCCATAAGACCTCGTCGAGTCCCTGTCAACACGACTCTTTTCATTTTCGTTGTATATGACCTTGGAAAGCATCATGTGGTGGCATACTATGGCGCATTGGGTTTTGAACTCACACGGGTTGAACGCACCATCGGCGCGTCGAACGATTTGGATCGACACTTGACGGCAGCCGATGTACTCAAGCTCAACAGTTTTTCAAATGGAGCGCTCGATATACCATGTGGAAGACGATGCTTGAAGATAGGACGAGCCGCAAGAGCGAATCTTGTGCAAGGTAAAATTGAAAAACGCGTTAAGGACGTACATTTACAGTATGTTCTAGATAGTAGGCACAACAATGGACATACTAGTACTAGTATTGAACAAGATTCTTGTCGCCACGACAACGGCAATCGAGCCGCGTCGCAACACACGCTTGCGCTGAGCTTGTGGGCTGGGTTGTCACGCGAGCCTTTAACCGTTCCTCGTCATGTGCCTTGCCGCACGGTGTGCCCTTACGATGCGGAAAGGCGTCCCCAAATCTCCGGATGCATCACCACAGAAGGGAGTCATAACCCCAAACGATCGATTCACCGAGGCCAAAGCGCACAAGCGAACCCGAAGACAGGAAGTTTCAAGCTCACGTCCAACGAATGTATGCAGTCGAAGCAAGCGTACGTCCAAAAATCACAAAATGCTCTTGATAAAACGAATCCTATCCGATCCAAAACGCTCGAAGCAATGGAGTGGTGCGACAGATCTTGTTGTACTTGGTTCGAATGGGTGTACCTACAGGGGCAATGCGCACTCTTCAACACACGTAGCTGCAGAATCCGGGTCTTATTCATTGTCACAGGTATATAGGAGAAGTTGTTGAAATGAGTTATTAACATGCAATTATATAGTGAAGATGGTGGACTTCCTAGAGCGCTCGTGAGGTTTGGCCGGTACGTCAAGCTGGGGGCGCATGGTCAGGGCTCGGGATTGAGTTGGGAATGAGGTAGCGAGCACACCAAGGATCGGCGCGTAGGGCATGGAGCGACTCATCAAGCGAAGGCACCACGGCGCGGCGGGCCAAGTGCCGGATATGCAATCGCGAGACAGTGGCGGCTTTGATCGCGAGCGCAGCAGCGGGAAGGGGCGTCAATGTCGTGCGAAACACGCGGTTGTTACGTTCAAGCCAAAGACTGTACCAAACGCAAGCGCGCAGGATCGGCCAGAGGGCACGGATGGTCGGCTTGTGGGCTGAGAA